CCGTATTAATTTAGGAGTAAAATGACAATAGATTCTCACCTAAAATAAGTAATGGGACATCATACTCTGTAGTCACCAGGGCTTCAGCCAAACTAGGCAAACAGGTGAAGGTGATGGACTCACGCATACCGGTCTTGAAGACCAGGGCTAATATTCCCAGCTCGTACAGATTACCCATGTCGCCACAGTCCTACAGTGAAGCTGTGCAAAGTCAGCCAAGTGGATGTGGCTCCACCCCTGTTAACACGACTAGGTTAACAGATCCGAGTGGGAAAATTGCACTAAGTGAGAACTGCATAACACCCATCCCCATGGTAGACCATGAAACAAATAGGAAGGCCAAAAAGAAACGTTCACGACGTCGCAAGACGACAAGAACGCTCCCCAAGAAGGCAGACGACTGCAAGGTCTGCGCTTCTGTTGTCGAACAAGCAGACTCTGCTTTCGAATGTAACTTTTGCAAGCGATGGGTGCATTGCAGATGCGACAATGGGGTACCAAAAGCATATTATGACTTTATGCGTAAAAACCCATGCCAATGGTTCTGGTACATATGCCCGAGTTGCCGTCCTGATGTAGCCTCGCGTAGTCCTTTGAAAACTAAAGATGGGCAGAAGTAGCGGGGAAAAATGTGAAATGTTCGACCCCCACCAATCCGGAAATTAGTACAAACGCGCGTAAACCGGGGATACCAAAATCCTCACCGGTTAAACTTGTAACTCTTGCCATAACCGCTCCAGACACAGAGGCTGGAGAACCACGGGTTTCCGTCGTTGGAAAAAGACCCCTATCGTCTGCCAGTAATACTGGCCATAGCACTGAGACACACAAAAATACCCAGTCGCACCAGACAAACCAAAACGGTCTTAAAGGTGATCACAAATGTGCGAGGACCGAGCCCAAGCCCACGGTTAGTAGATCAAATTGTGTAATCCTCTTTAATGTACCAGACTGTAGCAGTAGTCTGCTGAAAGATAGGGCCCTATTTGATCAGGAACAGTGGTCCATCTTGTGTAGCACACTGGGTTTGGACATCCAACCAGTAAATCTATGCAGATTGTATAGGGGCACTGCTGCACCTGAAGGCAAACCATCCCCACTGAGGGTAACATTGGGCTCTACCGAGGATGTTGAAAAAGTGTTACTGGCTTCTCAAGTCCTTTCTATAGGGAGGGCCTGTAACATACGTGTTAAGCCAGACAGGCCGTGGAAGGAAAGACAAATGGCGAGGGAGTCGCCAGAGCTCATTCCTTCTGCCTCCATGGTTGTGCATGGCATTCCCGAACTGGTAACTGGGAACGCCTGCGAAAAGCATTGTCATGATGTACAACAATGGAGATGGTTGGCATCCCAGATGGCCCTGGGAAGTTCAGGGGCTGTCTCTATTTATAGACTGCCTCGACCCACTCATCTTATGTCAATTAACTCGCCACGTCTGTTAGCTGTCAAGTTCAGCTCCCAAGACCAGTTGACTACCGCTCTCCATAGATGGTACGAGACCAAGGACAAGGTCAGCAAACACATTCGCTGCTGCGAGAGCCGGCCTCGCACTCAAAGGAGAGAACAAAGCGTAGTAAAAAAAATCCTCAACCCCTAGTCACACTACAGCGGTGCAGCACGGACGATGATAGCCAGTGTCATCCGAGTGCTCCAACTGAACTAGAAGAAAAAAACGCCAACAGGCCGGTTCCTGGGGAATCGGCCAACTAGTTCGTAGGATAACTCCTCAACCGATAGCCAATATCAAGTCAACTACCCCCCAATACGGGGAAGTGGTGAGACTGACTACCAGTTGCCTGTACAGTAATGTGAGAGGGCTAAGAGGCAAAATAGCTGAACTTAGACACCTACAATCACAACTGAACTCCAAAATCATAATACTGACGGAAACCTGGCTAACCCCTACGGTGGCAGACAGCGAAGTCAGTATAAATGATATGGTCCTAGTCAGGCGAGATAGGGACCTGAAAGAAGGAGGTGGAGTCGCCATATACGTCGACAAACAGCTCAGATGTGTTCACGCGATGGACCCTCCCCTCACAGAGCTCCCTGACTCCATATGGTGCCACTTCACCGTTGGGTACTGCAAATATCTAGTGGGCAGCATTTATCGATCACCTTCATGTGGAGCAGACCACAACCAGGTACTGCTAAATACAATCTCAGCAACTCAAGACATGGGTTATGATCAAATTGTCATAGCTGGTGACTTCAATGCCCCATCTCTTAACTTGGTGTCGGGAAAAGCCCATGATAGATTTGATCGAAATCTGCTGCATACCATCAGGAAGGCTGGATTCACTGAAAATGTCAAGATGGATACTAGATGGGGCCCTGATGGGAAGTCTTCTAGACTGGATTACGTGCTCACTAGTGACCAGCTACTAGTGGAAAACGTTCAGATCACGACTCCCATAGGTAGTAGTGACCACGCGGTCATAGTATTCGACATAGTCCTCCGCGAGCGCTTACAGTGGGACAATACACAGCCCTATCTGTGTTATAACAAAGCCAACTACACCAAAATGCGAAGACTTCTGTCTGAAGCAAATTGGCCTAAAAAATGGACAGAGCTAACAGTAGAAGAACACTGGAGAGTGGTAAAGGAGATCATTCACCAGGCGGTCTCAGACACTGTTCCTTTAGTCACACCAAAAGCTAGGAAGCAACGATCATGGCTAAAAGGGGACACAACGCCTTCTGCAGGCGAA